CGGGTGAGCAGGGCACAAAGGCCGGCCAGGCCCGGTAGGTGTCGAATGTCGGCCGCCCACCCGCGCCCGCGCCGCCGCACCTCTCAGCGCCGTCATACGATATCGCCTTTTTATTTCATAATTTCTACACAATGAAAACGCTGCAAAGGCGTAGGGCGAAGACAATGCGCCCGGAGGTGGACCGCTCGGAAACCCTTTATATCGAATTTATTGTCTCAAAATAAAATCGGGTGCAAATTAAAATAAGTATTGAAGCGTAGGACCATACCGCCAAGGTTTTTAATTGTGTTGATTGTGTTTACGATTCAAATGGTAATGCGGAATAGGATAGTTTTTTTACTCGTATATTTTCCATAAGAGTTAAGGCAAGGTGTGGGTGGAAGAGTGTGGAACTGTGTAAAAAAAAATGAAAATTGTTCGAGATCGACTGACAAACTAAAACACATTCTTATTTTGATATACTCAAATAATCAATGAGTATGCTGATGCCCAAAATTTTATTTGTGAGGTAAACCTATTACAATAATATAATCCCCTAATATTAGAATTTCCATATGCGGCAGCAACAAAGCATACGTTTTCAACAATCGGAAATTGCCCAACTGGGGGTCCTGGAGCATTGTCAAAACAACTCATCAGCGGCCGCTAATAAATTGTGGGTGGCTTATCGAGATTGGCGATCCGAGGTAATGTGTGTTGGGGTAATCAGATGTGCGCCTTCTAACTTTTAATTCCCCGAGTAGCCGCGGGGGCGCCGGCAGGGAGGGTCCAGCGCCGCCGATATCGCATATAAAAAGGTTGCGGATCGCTCGCTCCTCCATCCGGCGATTGGCTAGGCGGCGCCCGCTGCTCCCCAGGGTCCTATACGAGAAGCGAAATGGGCCCCCGAACACCCATAAGAGAGCGACCCCGCCCGCCACGGCCGAATAATTAGGGCTCTTTGTTTAGATAGCGGCAATTTTATTTGGGAGAGAGCGGGCGCTGGGGACGTCTTCGGCCATTCCGACCGCCTGATATTAATAAGAAACGTGTGTGCCCACTAACCCACTATCCGCGCCAAATAATACAGTCACCGCCGATTACCCTCCGAAAAACAAAGATTCCTCCAACTCTCGAGCGGCCGATGAATATAAAGACAAAGCCATACGTTTTTGGTATTGATAGCAAAAGTTGCCAAAGTGTGAATTACACCGCAAATTCATAGCAAAGAAAAGGGGAGCACCGACAGTCACCGAGCAATATCACATAAATAATGCAACCAGCAAAATTGGGATTTTGATTTGTTTTCTTAGAAACTTTTATTTGTCTTGCGAGTGAATAGGGCTAACTGAACCAAGCACAATGGTTGGCTTCTTTTGTCTCACCATTAAAGTTTTGCTTTGAATTGGCAGAATCAAGCAAGTGGAAAATTATGAAAAATCTATACTTAGCCCACTTTCTAAACAATACAACTTGCGCCAACTAAGAAAACAATATGTTTTCAGGCACTTAAAACTCTCCTCAATTTAAAACCTTTTCCAAAATGGGAAAGGCCTATACCTTTATTCGTGATGGATTGATAAGAGGTGTATTACCTACACTTACGTTATTTTCTCCACACTTTGGGGCTAAATAAAGGAGTGTGAATAATATGTCAAATTACATACTGAAAATAGAAAATCATGTAAGTTGTCTTTGTGGTCTTGTAAAGCAGAATATTCTCGTGAATTTTTGTAGATCAATCAGTGTAATAGTAATAAGTTATAGTAATAATTTCTCTTAAAATACCTCCTCCTTTTTTGAAGTCGGTAAAAAGTGCACAACGTATCTAAAGAAATAGTAGTTCATTTTCAATTGTAAAGACGCCAAATTCTTGTCGTGAGTAGAGCTAGCGCTGCGGTTCAATTCGGGCGCGAGGCGCCGAGGGCCGCGTCCTCTTGTTTCGTCGCCGCAAACTTGCCATAAATGTTAATATGGGATCTTCTCACATTTGAATATCTATTTGTTCGCGAGGCCGGTTCGTTAACGCGGCCTTGAATTTTAAATTTTATCGCCGCAGCGGGAGCGCCGCAGATGAGGTGCGCGCCTACGTGATCTCCCCGAGAAAATAACCGAGGGCAACTTCTTATTGTTTGTCTTTTTCGAGAAAAGTGAAACGGACGATATGTGAACAATGAAACACGACGACCGTTTCAAATTCATTCGGATTCAGGATAATTTTCTTCTTTTTAGAATCTAGAATAACTTAAGCCTTACTGAAAGCTTACTTACCTACATATCATATCATCTTTCTCTTTTTGGGTTAAAACAGAACGTGTCTGGCTAATATTTGTGTGTTAGTTAGGTGTAAACTTGAACTTTTATAAGCTTAGATCATATAAGTACACTGAATACATAGAACTAAAGTAAATGAGCGAATTTGGTGAAGATAGGTAGGTAGCCGTAAGCTTAAATTTTTGTTTCAGTAGGAGGTAATCCTGATATTATTTATTATCTTAGTTCATTTACATTTCCATCTTGTAGTGGTGCTTTTTACTAAAGTGAAAAACCGTTCTTTTAAGAAGTACTAATAAGGTCGGTATTTAAACAATAGTTATTTGCTGTGCCAGCTCCCGAAACTGTCAGACTAAAGTCACAAGGCGCGCCTACAAGGCCGACTGCAGCTGCTCTGAAACCTAAATTACCTATTTGTCGCGGGTGCAAGATCACGTGAACATTGTCTAGTTTTCTCATTAAAACGCCTGTATGGCTTAATTGCGATCCCGTGATTGTATTTAGTGAGGAATAAATTATTCACGCTGTTGATTCGGGATTGCATTAAAATGTAGAGTCAATGATAAAGCCTCCGCAGTTTAGTTACAGAGTTGGACTTTGAAATCTGAGTTCTTAATTGAAATATTACCTACTTTGAACAATTGTTCTTAATTTCGTTTAGGCATTGGTCATCATCTGATTGTTGAAAGAAATATGATTTAGTGCGTACCAAAAAAAATCGGTTAGGTAGGTACTTGTAAGTTTAAATGACATGATATTCACATAGTAGGTACAAGTAATGTTTCAGCATGTCCATTAGTAAGATTCCTGGCTACATAGGAGTTGCAGCGGTGTAAAAACGAGAGGTGAGAATAGTAAGATTCGATTATTAGGAAAGTCATGAATTTTGGGAAAAATTACAATGTGAAAAACGTCATCAATATTGACTTGATTTTTAAAAATACAATGTTTCATAATAAGTAAATAGTAGTCCAATACAAAACACTAAATTCAACTATAAGTCGTAATTATCAAGCATAAAAAAACCCATAAATAGATGGCACGTTCAGTAAAGCTCAGGAATTTGCGAATATTTCCAGCGGCAGTCCACGCCGAGCCAGTCCATTAGTTTCCAAATCTAGCGGACGTCGCGGCAATGACGATCGGAAAGTTAGCTCACATTTTAATACGCCCCCACCACCCTGTCTGACCCTCAATTATTGAAAATGCATTTCTGTCCGCGCCCTGAGCGCGCCACATCGCAAATGCACATTTTAAACTGCACCTGATTGCATAGTCGTGTACTACCCGGCCGAAAGTCGCGCTGTCGCTTTATTTTAGCGCAATAATTGACTTTATTAGCGCCCGCTTATTACTCGAAGCGGATTTTCGACAAACGACGGTGAGTGACGGACGCTGGGGTTGTATTAAAGTGATAATGTAGCGTTTTCTTTTGCCATTATTGCTTCTACATTAGTACTTAAATATTAATATTAATGCCAGATTAGCTAACTCTAATTTATCATTCATATTTCGCATATATTTTAGTACATCAAGTAGTCTAGATATAAAAGCTCTATTTACCTAAGCTTTCTATTCATATTGAAGTAAAGATAGAACGTGTAGGCAGAATTCAAGGATATTGCCTGTCAAAAATTTAAAAAAATTAAAATGGGCTAAGTAGGTAGCTAAAAATTTTATGTAATCTAAGAAAAAAAGTTTCACTTAAGGTTTTTTCAAACATCTTCATCTTAATCAATATCTCTAACCTATTCAACCATTACGAGTAAAACTCGGTTGATTGAGTTTGCTCGTATTTGAATCGGCATAAGAACAAACGTGAACAGCTCTTCATTTTCAACCACCAACGTGAATTAGGAAGTACTTAATAGAATCAGGCGGCGCCCGCGCTCATGGCATGGTGCTAAGTGACGAACGGTGTACACAATTTCGGGCGTCCATTTTAATTGTAAGTTCGGAAGGTCCACCCCGCAATGCAATTTTAGCGCGTTTTCAGTCGATGCTCTTATAAAACAAGCTTGAATACCCTTTTAGACCCATCTATTTTGAAACAGTTACGTATTAAGGCCGAATGAAGGGAGCTCAAACTCTTTAACCAGCGTAACCAGGTACGCTAAAAATATTCTTTTTGAAATCGAGTTCAAAATCGTAAAATGTTAATTTGTATATCTAATGAGGAGAAATATTAATTATTATTTATAGAAAAAGAATAAAACGACTTTACACTGCACTCTTTTGAAATAATCATTTTTAGCTGCAGTTAGTTTGGTGCGTAACTATAAGTTAATAGGATGACAGTCAAGTACTTATCCTACCTATTTAAATTTTATTTACTCTCTTAGGATTGAGAAATATAAAAAGGCACAATAATAGACTAGTACTTGGTTTTAGTACTAGACATGTCCTTTCGTCAGTTCCCGCAAACTGCGTGCTCCGCCGAAGCGCGTTTAGTGTCGCCAGGAGGGAAACTACGATTCCTTTGAGCGAGAGTACTCTACTCCTCAACTTTACGTTCATTTTATCTTTTCGGCAGTATTGCGAGACGGGGACACGCCAAAGGCCCTCCAGGGCTCCGTTAACGCCGCGGCCCTACCACCTCCGACTTCAACACTTTTTACACTCCACTATTCAAATATTAATATGAGAGCGGCCTTCGCGCCGTTGTCATTTAAGTTAAATTTTATTTTTATAGCTTTTTTATGTGAGCCTGCGTAATCGCTTACACGAGTTGTTATTAACAGGCTTACCTGATTCGAAACTGTCCATGCTCTCCGTTTTGATGTCCGCCATTTCTGTAACAAAAGCAAAACCGTTATTGACTCATATTTTTTAAAAGGTACTAGCTAGCTGGCTCTGACTGCGTGAGGTTCTGTTTTATAGAGAAACACGTAGATAGGTATCACATTCCTACCTAAGTAAAAGTAGAGAAATAACAAAAAAAAACAGAAATATTAAGTTAAAGCTTCTTTCCTAGTATTGAATTGAAATTGGTAGCAATGAAAAAAAGAAAAGATTTTACGTAGATAGACCGAAATAAACGATCGAGTGCTACGAATAGTTCGTAGCATAAAACAGTTGTCTGTAACTGCCATTCACTTCATTCATGTTTGATACAATACAATTTACCTGATGAAACCTATCCATCAACCTATAGCTACATCCGTTTACTATTAGGAAAGTTGGAGAACTCTCTTTCGTGACCGCACGAAGTTGCCTGAGGCGCGGTCGCGGCGGTGACCCACGCCTCTACCGCCCGCAGCACGGACACTTTTGCTACTGTTTTAAATTCACAATACGGGAAGTGATCCAGTTTAAAACTTTTACTCCAATTTGCTAGTTGCCGACCCTGCGAGAGTGGTCTTTCTGTAGCTAATACCTGCTCCATACTACCCATGTCGATATGCCTACTGATTTTCAATTTCATTAGGAGATACAGTTGTGAAGTTGTATACTACTTTGTACCACATTTACCGCAATAAAGAAATTCTATTCTATTCTATTCTATAGTTTAAATCATAAATGTCTTGTTTGAAAGTAGATATTTGAGTTACGTATAGTGACAGTTTTATTTTTACGAAACAGCAATTTCATATCACTAATAGCAGCCTGTATGTATACACGTTCTTGTGTTGAAGTTGATTCCCTAGATATTTGAATTCGATCGTTATCTTATACTTTCAATGAATCACCCTGCTAGTACATATAAACTTCTACATCAATTGTGGTCGAACAACATATTGGCTACCTACCAAATAACCCATTAATTTTCGTTGTTATGTCGATAACATAAGGAAAACCAGTTTTTTGTTAACTTTGCCAAAAGTAATACGACTAGGTATATTAATAGGTATCCTTAGTATCTTGGTTGTGGGATAGGACTATTTACATAAAGTCACTAATTTAAGCGTCTAAACTAAATTTTTTACTCAAGTAAAAGAGCTGAACGTAAGAGGTGTATGTTTATCGTGCTTGACTAAAGGTTTAAATACAACCCTGCCACCAAGCTTTTAGACATAGCTTAATATTTAATACAATGAAATTGGTGTGCAATTAACTCAAGATGTATTAGAAACTTCAATTTGAGTGCTGTAGGCTGGTGCAATAAGATAAGGCTGGCACCCAGGGGACCATCCTCGCCCGGGGAACTGCGTACTGCAGCAACGATGCCTGAGATAGATACCTACATTGTTATGGCTCCTGACTAGTCTAGGTTAAACTTGTTGTTTGGAAAACAAGTAGATATTGCACATAACACGTATGCAGATGAGAGACTTGTTGGCGAAAACATAAACAGTGTTAAGGTTTTTTGTCTACATATCCCTCTCAATGTAATGTAGAGTCAGTTAAGTTTTCAGATAAATATCAATCCATCATTATTTACTCTGCGGTATCTTACTACGCATCCATTATACCCTCCCGAGATATATACATATACATAAGTAATACAATTCAATCAAAAATAAACTCTAATTCTTCGCGTCTAGACTATGCCTGAATGCGTTCAGGTTTTCTTTTCAAGAATCTGTGAATGTGACAACGATCGGGGCCGAAGCTAGCGCCTAAGCGTAGCGATAGAGATAATAGAGGGCCTGCGGCGTGCAACATTGATGAACGCAGGCGCCCCTCGCGGCGACTTTATTGCGATTAATCCCGGGACACTAGATTAAACATGGACACTAATGTATTCCAGGATATCTTCACCTGTAAATTTTCAGTTTTTGCGTTATAAAAATCTGTGAATGTGACAACGATCGGAGCCAAAGCTAGAGCCTACGCGTAGCAATAGAGATAATAGAGGGCCTGCGGCGTGCAACATTGATGAACGCAGACGCCCCTCGCGGCGACTTTATTGCGATTACTAACCCCGGGACACTCGATTAAACATGGACAAGGTACGTATGATTAAAACAATTAAAAACATTTTAATTGATGNGATTTTGATTTTTTTGATTTTGAGTAGACACCTCTGAGCTCTATTAACTCATAAAAAGTTTCAGCTCAATCGAGAATTGAGAAGAAGGTCAAAACATTTTTAACATTCTCCATTCAACAAAAGATCATATTCTTTCCAGTTCTACAACCACACAAATATTTTGAATATTTCAATAAGGTCTCAAACGCAATATCTAACTTCGTTCCAATAATAAGGCTATGATCTCTAGAGATAACCTATTCAACACCTACACGAAAATACAAGAGCAGTTTATCCGAATGTGCTTAAAAGAAAAGGTAACATTTAGTTTAGTTTAGTTTACAGAGACGCGGCAAGGTGCAGGTGGCGTCGCCGGCGGAGGATATTAACGGAGTCCCGGCGGAGCGGGCGCGGCTCTAAGGCTGCGCTAGATTTCCCGCGGGGGCACGTTAATTTTCTGCCGCCTTGAGCATACTGCCCTCCCGGGGACGCTACCTTTCGCGTAGCCATTCAGACTCAAGGTGTTATTCCGGCAACGCCGCGGACTCATGCCGATATGCGTCTCCCGAGGAAACTTTTTCACCAAATAAAAATAACAACGCCGTACAACGAACGTATTCCTACTACATAAGTTATAGAACTTAACACTTTCCCCGCACGTGTAGAACTCTACCGACACAGATTCAGGATGTCATTTAAAGTTAACCCGTGGCTGACCTTAACTTTCAACTCGTTTCAAAGTTCACGGACATTGCGATCCATCATAATATTCAGTGATTTTTACATTATGCAGTTATATTTATTTATTTATTTTTATTTATTTAAAGACTTTATTGCACACACAACAATGTTCAGTACAAAAAGGCGAGCTTAATGCCATAAGTCATTCTCTACCAGCTGACTATATTACTCGGTGATACGAAATGCATAGGCAATCAGGCGCGCCGATTGAACTGAACTTTTAATTCGTGTTGTATTGTGTAGCAAATTAAATACTGCGATGATTTGTTATAAAGTTTGTTGGATAAAAATTAAAATATTGTTTAAAATATGATTTTTTTTTTCAATGAAATAACGTTCATAATTAGACTTTTTTGAAACTATGAGTAGTGTCCTCCTTATTATGAAAGTGAAGTTTGCAGTTCGGAAGATTTTTTACTCAAACCAAATGAATGTCGACTTCTGTATGTTTAGTCTCCGGAACACATAGCTGGGAAAACAACATTGTGATTTGCGAGCACTCCCGTTATCAAATATAAAACATGGAGCTGCAATGAAATTCGGTTCAAGCGCTAGGAAAATAGGACTCTGTTTCCTCTTTTCCGTTCCGATCATTGTTGCTAATAGCGATCGCGCCTGTAGTGGTGCGCGTGTGTGCGCGAGTGGCTCCCGCGGGAAGGAAGAAGTGTGGCCCGGCGCGCCACCTGGGACCGGGCCGAGGGACGGGGGCATTAGACAAGTAACAGACGTAGCCAATACACGATATAGAAATCACGCTACAAGTTTCAGTCTCCCCAAACAAGAAACACTTTTAGTAATTAAGTATTGAAACGATGGCCTCAGGTCGCGGGTCATCCCCAGCGACTGCTGATAATATCTAAATGCCTAATGGCAGTAATGGCTGCTGGGCCTGTGACGAATGTATCGGGCCGCCGCCCCCCGCGCGCCGCCTGCTCGCCTCTCCACTATGTGATAATTCCAAACGCTGCGGCCGCGCCACCTGGGATCTGCCAGGGACGGACTCGTCCACCCGATGAATACATTATGGTTTTTCAACTTATCCATTCCAAAGCCACATCATTACTAGGTTGGTGTCTCACCGTCTGGGCATAGAAGGTCCAGCTAAGGTTGGACCAAACGAAAACAAATTCAGCACAGGCTTTGCTATTGAGCAGATGTTCAGCCTGACCAGTTTTAGTAAAGGCATATAGACTTAACAATGAAAGACCTTAGAGAACATAACGTCTGCCATTATTTTAAAAGCGATTTTATCATTATCATCGTCATCATCAGCAGGTCATTTTGTCTACACGACCCTTTAACTAAATATTGATTAATATTTTAGTTAAAATTAATTAAAGGCTCTACTAATTTAACTCTACCAACTCCGAAGCAGATAATATCGGTATTTGTGTTGACAAGTGGATTGTTGGCACGAATTTGAGGCCAAGTTTGCAAACAATTCGAGATTGTCAACGTTGCCCTATCCAGGAACGCGGCGCGGTGTCGGCGGGCGCGCGCCTCGGCGCCGCGCCGCATTCCCGCTGCACCCGCCGCCGCCCGCCCGCCGATACTACGCCGGCATTTAATTACCCACGTGCCACACCGAAAGGCGATCCCGGTCAGCATAACCCGCATAGTTGTCCGCCTAAGTTGACAAAATAACGCAAATACCCAGCATAATAACCGATGTCAGTCCCAAATATCGGCGTAGTTTACGCTCAACTTAATTAAAGTCCGAGATTGGCGGTGTTGGGAATATTTTAAAAATTGCGCGTCGAGTGCGGTCCCTGTGGCTCAGTCCCACGGGAGCGAGCCCGCGCGCCCAACTTCGGGCTCAGCGGCGCCGCCCCCCGCGCCCCCCTCGCCCCCGCTGAGAATACATTTGCGCAACACTCGCGCTGGCCTAACAACGGCTCTGCGACAACGAACAACTCACTGGGAAAAATTACTCATTTTCCAATACCGCCTAAAGATAGTTTCGATTCCTTTGTCAGGAAACAATAAGCTCTTCCAGTTTATATCCAGCAGGCAGCAACGGCAGACTAAAGAGCTCATCATAAAACATGGACAATGAGTCATACTCATAATTCTAAGGGTGCTATAAGAAAAGAATGCTTTGTACCCGTATTGTTTTTGCTTGTAATGTGTGACTGTCTAACTTATTATTTCAAATTTTAGATACTTTAAAAGCTTACTACCTACACCAAAGTAGCAAATAAAAGCTATACGTAGCTGCGAAGGTTCATGGCTACATATTTTAATTCTTACTGAAGAATTATGTATTAAATACAGACACTAGGACTCTCGTCTTATGATAAGTTATCTAGTCACTAAAAGCGATCTCTTCCAGAGCCTTCTCTGATTACTTTTTCATCGTGCAAATCTGCTAGCAGCACGGCTCTTGTGACTTTGTTACTGGCATTACTTTCACAAAGATAACTTTAGTATTTCCACTACGGGTAAGTGCTCAGCATAAAATTTAAATTATCTGGGTGACATAAACTTAAAGGCTGGTAGGCGCTGCTGTTTTAAAAACTCGGCGAAGTCATAAAAGATAAAGTGGAGTTACTGTGGACCGATGATGGGCCAAGGCGGCCAATTTATTTATAATCTCGGGTGGCTGAATTGGCTACGAATTAGCATGTAAATATTTGAGGTCCAAGGAGTCCTGTGTAGATTTATCGCGAACGGCGTGAGATAAGCGAGGACAGAGTCGTAAAGCACGGGGAGGCGGGGGCAGAACACCCTTTGACGAAGTTGTAAAAAGAGCATTAAAGCGCAGTAAAAACGCATCGCCCACGCGGCCGGAGACTGCTTGTTATTTTAGTGGGCTTCTTATGAATTTCAATGAAGATGTCGCCGTAATGAGCACGCTCCGCGCCCAACAACGCTATTAATCGCGCTCTCAACCCTAATCATTTCTTTGCGTTAAAATTTTAATAGTAGGGGTGATACTGGTCTGGAAATAAACTGCTGGGTGCTTGAGAATATTGTCAACTGATAACTTGTTTGATTACTTTAAATAGTTAAAATAGTTTTTAAAAGTTTAAAACTTACCAGCCATATCTTCGTCAGCCTCGTAATCTTCAGGCTTGTTTTGGTCTCCANGATAATACAGTTTGAGTCACGTTAAAGTGTACATATGAAAATGGATGAAACTAGACCTATTTTTATCGACAAAAAAGGTCAAAATTTTTTTGAGTTTTTTTTTATTTTTTATAGATTTTTTTTCTTCCAATTACTTATTGCAAAAAAAACGTAATAACTTTTAAACTAAGCGGTATATCCTGATAAAACAAAAACGGTAATAATGCTAAATAACAGGCGATACTAAAAAAATACATAAAATACACAAAAAAGGCCAACAAATAATAAAAAATAATACTTTTTGAAAAAAAACTGCTTTTAAATTCGTGTTTTTTGGTTATTTGATAAATTTCTCCAAAAAATACCCCTATAACAGGTAGTTTTTATTACTTTGTATTATTTTCTATCGTATCATCTTTGTAAAACCAAAAATCGTATGTCTCTATTCCTATCACAACATTTTTTACCTCTTTTTTGTCGATAAAAATAGGTCTAGTTTCATCTATTTTCATATGTACACTTTAACGTGACTCACACTGTATGTATCAAGTTTCTAAGGCTGGATTGCACGGTACAACCACGGTACGATTAGTTGCACCATCTTACTTTAACTGTGACAAATGTCAAAAATCTGTCAAACTCCATTCAAAAAACACCGGTTATCGTTATATTACGGTCAAAGTTAGGTGGTGCAACCCAGCCTAAGGCTAATAATATTCTGAAACGAAGTTAAAATTATATGATTGGTTAAACAATATTTATACCAATCACGTCTTACCCATTCTTGGGTATTCTCATAATTGAGACATTTATTACGGACCTAAGGTTGCTAAAGTTGCTGCCTAAGGCTGTATTTGGGACATTGAATACCTACTTATCTTGAGTCGGGTACAAATGTTCTTGTTCATTAATTCATCACACAAACGTTTGCTTGCCCCTTGGGCTTAAGAGACCGGCGATTAAGTAATTGAAAGAAAAAAGGAACAGTTTTTGATATTACAGTAAAACAAATCGAATAAATAGATAAAATTTACTTTTTCAAGTCAGTGTTTTTCATGAAATAAGGTAAGTGCCCCCTACTTCGGTATATTAAGGCTCTTACGACTTTAACAATTTATTTAAAAATAACCAAGGATGATATCAGTATGAAAGCTTTTGTATGCTAAAGTTTGGTCTTTTGACAGTAACTTAATACATAAATTATAGTTATATTGTTTAAACTTNGATCTCCATCTGCATCATCGTTATCTGTGAAACAAAATGAACAGTCAACAAAATAATCCAATCATTGTAATTTTCAAAGGCGTGCAAAAGAAAAACATACACGAGCACATTAATACGTCTGATACGCACATGGCTAAAACAAACAATGCAAGAAATTGAAACACGAAACAGTCATTAGGTAGAAATAATAACGCTAAAGCAACTCTTCTCATCGGAGCGACACACGGCGCCACTGGGGACCGTATATGAAGACGGAGTGAAAGTAAGATGATAATGTAAATGCATCGAGCTCAAGAGTTTTTCGTCCCCCTTAAGACAATACGCTGGAGGACGAACGTCTTTGTAATGACAGGAAGCTTAAATGAACGGTTTATTTTTTAATGTGTCGTTTAAAATTTCGATTTTCACCTGAACATTCAATTTACATAAACATAATAATCTGCTATATTACAATTAACTTATTCAAACAGCAACAACCTGCTACAGTAGAGTAGAACACCACGTCTAGTCAATTGACGTAATTTTGTCGTCAAAAACGTGACTCTACCATGGATTTTGTATTGCAACGGATATCTATGAAGCCATTGACTAGGTATTTATTAGTTTCAAACTTACTAAAAGTCTAATTTTACATCTCATTGAAAACTTAATAGATTCTCAACGCTACAATAAAGTGATTTTCGAAGTAGGTAGTTGTGTTTCGGAATTATCATCTGATTTTTGGTGACAACCCAATAACTTTGACTGGTTGAACATGGACTTCTCTTAGTTCTACACTGTATTCTGCTTAAATTCCAGAAGAACCGTATTTTCCAGACAAAAAGTGCTCAATTCTGTAAAATCTCTCCGGCAAAATGTGTAAGCGTTGGGAACGCAGAGCGAATGAGGAGCTAATCTGACGATAGATGCCCCGTCTGTCTAGCAACCCGACATCTGACTAAGTGCTGGGTGCGGACTGCGATTAAGCCAATTCTCATCAATCAGTATCTGTTTAACATGTTATACAGTTTGATTACGCGTTATTAATTCAGTTTAATCTAAGTGACGTATTGATTTATGAATTAACCTAAGCGTCAGCCACTGAGCTGCGCAAATCGCAATAACGTAAATTAAGTAGGTACGTACGAGAATGTTTATAAACTGAATTAAAATTAAATAATAGAATAAAAATATTATTAAGACTAATCCTGGAAACTTAAATTGGACTATTAATCAGACTGGTTTCTGAGCTAATTATCCAAATTGAACAGCTTCTTAAGTTATTGAAGGATTAAAGACCTATAAAAGGTCATAGCATGGTCTATTCTGAAATCGGGGTTATGTGTCTCTCAATGGAATAATGACCTAGATAGATACAAAATTCTTCTGGCTCTACTTTGAATTTTACTTCGTTCATCAGCTTTACCAAAAGGAAACACTAACTTTCAATACTTTAGGTACTATATTTAAAAAACTGTTTATTACGGTGATGTATTATCTATACATCACCGTAATAAACAGTTTTTTACATATTAGCTATATCACAAGCTCTGCGAATACAGAGGAGGCCGATCTGTCACCCGCAATTCGACGAAACAGAATCGCACCCAGTGCCCGGCGCCCGCCAGCCGTATGTCATCCCTATCGGTATGTTTGTGACGCAGACTCCGGTAGGTACTTAATATGCAGATTTCTACAGCAAAGAAAGGTATTGTCAATTTGTTACAGATTAAAACTACATAAACTAACAGAAATAATTTAGTGGGTTATTGAAATAGTATACCTTTCTAAAACAGTGGTGTAAATCTTAACATGTGGGATTTGGTGAGTTTTTTGTGTACTATCACAGGTACTACGAGTAAATGTGCTGAAAGCTCCACTTACAGCTTACAAAAGTTAAAAGATGGCTGCTTTTGGCTATTTTGGTCTCGTTTTTGTTAGAGAAAATGGAAGCTACTTTAGGTTAACTTTAAAAGGTGTACCTAGTAATGGTATAAAAACAAAATTTCAATGCAATAACTTCATAAGACGGTTTAGAATTTCAATATGTCTTTAAATCTACGAATAAGGGTAGAGAACCTCACCTTCTTCTACTTCTTCAATATTGGACTCGTCGACGTCTTCCATTTTGTCCTCGTCGTCCTCGTCGGCCGCCTGCTCCTCAGTCGGATCCTCTTCATTGGCCATGTCGCTCGCGCCCGCTGGAGCCGGTCTGTCCTCATTCCATTCTTCCTCGTCAGCTGAGGATGAAAAGGACTTATCAGTAGAACTCGATAGCAGGTACAACATAATAACTTAAACTTAGAAGAAATTTTATAAAGTTGAAATTGAATCAATTAGTTTAGGTATATGTATAAATGTAGTATAAGCCCGACCAGGAACATAAAAACCCTCGCCATGTTGCGGAAAACTAATGGTACTAATTTCTTTTAATGGCAACAGTAACTGAAAACTTCATTGACATGTCACCTTGCATGTCAGTCTATTGCTGTCAAAGTGTAAACAAACTTTATTTTAAATGTGCGCAATTGATTTTGTGAATTAAATTGCTAAAATCTTTTTATAGTCGTGAAAGAAAAGTGGTTCACAATGTGTTAAAGTATTTGTCGAAGAGAATACTAATAGACTAAGAGCTAGTGAACGCCAGACCTACGTCATTTTATAAAAGCTGAAAGTTTGTCAGCGTATGCTCCCAATGTAGGATATAATGTTGGTGACAGTTGGTGAATTATGAAGTTTGGGTCGTGGTGGCTTTGGGAGCTACCCTAAAAAAACTGTATTTCTAGGAGTTGGAACTGTCAAAACTGTCTGGCTGTTGGGGATAATACTTCTAATTATTGTCCAAATATTATACATAAAAATCAGATTTAATGGTATAACGTAAGTAGAATTACAGTCTATTGAATATACAGAAAAAGCCACCGTAAAAGTTAGACTTACGTTATACTATAAAATCTGATTTTTATGTATAATATTTGGGCATTATTTAGAAGTATTTTCCCCAACAGCCAGACGGTTTTGACAGTTCCAACTCCTTGCCAGACAGTTTTTTTTGGGTAGCTCCCAAAGCCACCATGACCCAAACTTCATAATTCACCAACATTATATCCTATATTGGGAGCATACGCTGACAAACTTTCAGCTTTTATAAAATGACGTAGGTCTGGCGTTCACCAGCTCTTAGTCTATAAGGGTTCGGACAATATTTTCATTGAATAATATTTCCGACAAAGGTTGTCAAATTGACTGACATGTTTATAGTATAGTACAGTCCACTATGAAAATTAGCTGTGGTTTGTTTCAACTACCTATTTTAAAGTTTTTTGTCGCTTTCTAAGTGTTGAATTTTATGGAATTGGGAAAGAAGTACCGAGTTTGAAGCGTTCATGAGCAGACATTGCAGTTGAATATTCAAGTTCTGAATTTGATTATTGATGAATAATAAAATAAATCCTACTAGCTCGATTGATGGTTTCATTTAATTTATTTAAACTAGGTTACCTATAATAATATTTTTTCGTTAATTTATGAAAATATCAAATTATCCCGTAATCCTGAATCCTGATACATAAAGTTAGCCTATTAATTTAACACAGGTACGACTGTACTCAGTGTTGCACTATCAAATGCAATTGACGCGCCTCTATGCCAGGGTTTTTATGTTCCTGGTCAGGCTATAAAATGATTCTTTTCAAATTCTATATCTTTTCAGATTCTTTAAGTTCAACTGGACTTTTAACTCAATTGAGTGTGGAAGATTCGCGCAGCCATCACGCCATATGAGAATATATTGCTCA